TCTCTTGGCTTAACACTGATCTTCAGGACTGAGTGGGGTCTTCTACTCTAGACCATGCATTCTCAATGGCGTGATATTGTCCCCCACAAAAAAAATACTGGTTCTTGTGGATGAAGGGCAGGGGGTGGGGAGAGGTAAAACAACCTGAGACATTACACGTTATTTATATATATTAAGCACAGATAGAAATATAGTATATAAAAAGTATATGGAGATATGCAGTATATCATATTAAAATTTCATTGAGGGGATTATTTTTAAAAAGTCCAAGGCACTCCTTAGGTGGGAAATAATGCTTGAGAAACAATGCTCTAGATATTGGCAAAGCAACTGCTTGAAGCCTCCAACCAAAACAATCACAATTATTATTCTGGAAATAACAATTCAATGTTTTAAATTCAAGCTTTCAGTGACAATCAAATAATTTTCTTTTTGAGGATAATCACTGTAAATTGCAATAAAGCAGGAAAGAATTCTATATGGTTACAAATATTTTTACAAAATGCTGTGATCTCATTGGAAATGACTAAAAACTACTTCTAACAAGTTGATCATACCATTTTTCAGGAATTCATATTTCTCTTATTAAGCCTATAGTAAAATAGATATAATATCTTCCATCAAAATCCTAACCAAATAATTTTATAATTGTTGATGAAAACTTAACAATCTTATTTCAAAGATGTAACAACTTGCATCCCTTTTGTTAGACTCCAGAAAGCTTGTTTTGCAGAATAATGTACAAATTTCAAAAGCATGCATAACAAATTAACAAGCAGTGTACTGTTACAATGATGTAATAGCAAAAAATGAGACAAATGCCACCTGCAATTCATCCACTTTTCCCCAAAAAATTTCAAATAGAATTCTACAAGCTAAACATAAAAACGCTTTCCTCATTTTTTCTCTTTTTTTTAAATTTAAATTCAATTAATGCATCTGATACTTTCCTCATTTAAAAAAATTAGTAATCCAGTAAATTTCTAAAACATTTCACATTCAAGGAGAGGCATTCTTTTCTAAAAATCCTGAAATAAATGTAAAATAAGTTTATGCATAAAATTTTTCCTGGGATCTTCTCATGTCACTTCAAAAAAGATGAATTTTTAAACAATAAAAAAATGGTCACTTCTGCCATTAAAAGGAAGGGTCAGCAAGAATCTTCCAACCAGTAAACTGTGGGTCAGTTGGTAACAAAGATTTCCACCACTGAATCTGTCTCATCTCTAATGAGAAGTCATGTCTCCTTTCTTCCAGTTCCTTGTTCTTGAAGTAATAGTGCATCCAAGAATTAAAGAGCCAAGAAGACAGGTCTGCTGGCCATAAAAACTTTTAATTTGATTTATGCAAGAATAAATCATGCTCACAAAAGAGACTGGCACTTTTCTAAATTAAAGTAATCCCAATAATTACAATCAAAGTTCTTCAGTTGACTGAAACAAAGCCAGCAGCAGCATTAACCTTAATGTCTGCTTCAGTGAGGGCCAGAAAATGCTATTGTTGACATTAAGCTTCAAAAATAATTATACGGAGAAAATAATGGCACACAAAAATATCATATTGGTGAAAGGGCTTAGAAGAAATGAAAATCTGGGGAAAGGATTTTAAATTCCATAACCAACTAAGTCTGAATTTTGTTTTCATTAGGCAACTATCATTTTGTAGAATGAAAACAGTTATCTTATTTTCTGAAATGGCACTGTTATAGCTATTTAGTTTTTTAATGGTTGATATAAGATTTGGAGAAAAAATTAAAAAGGGATGTGGTAAACATTTCAGCCATTTAGTGTGATGTAAATCTAGTTTTAGATTTTCCATGTATCTTTTGAACATACTATTTTAAGATTATGATACAAAAATGCTTTTAAAGAGAACAATGGAGATCATTTTCAGTTGAGAACCTCAACGTGCTGCATGGGTCTCTCACACACAGAAAACAGAGGAAGTGATGGTGCGGAGTTAACACTTCTACTGCACAGACCACCAGATTCATCAGTCATTCTTCATATACATTGCTGTAGTATATTCATAATACCCCAAGCCACTGAAAAGTTTGCTTTTGAAAATTTCAGAAGAAAATGGAGATTAGTAGATGCTATGGAAATGAAGTGTACTTACAACTTTTTGTATTACGAAAATAGAGTATTGCTCAAGTGGAATAAATATTATTAAGCAGCCTTATTTCACAGAAATAAAATATTTTGTATTTGATTTTCAAAAATATGATGAAAGTGTCATCATATTAGCCATATGATATACCTCAAATAAGATCTGAATTTTAAGTCATACTTCCCCCCATCATGGAACAAACAAGGTGACATTTCATTGTCTTTTGTGTCACCATTTCAGTTGTGTACAATGACTAAGATGCCCCTATAATGTGTGATTCATGATGACTCATTCTTATATGGGAATAAAGGGAAAATATATTAGCCTAATGAATAAATTCTAAACTTTTTTTAAAAAATAACAGTAAGGAATCAGAGCACATCAAAAATACTTTTGGTTAAACATCACTTCACTTTGAGCAGGGGAAGTGTGGTCATACTTAATTTTGTGTTATTCTTTAACCATGAGGCCATGGTTCACCAGTCATGATCTCCTATTTGGGTTAGGTCATGTGTCCTTGGATGGTTGTTTTTTAGAAGTAGAGTAGATATTTCAGAATTATGGTTGAAATTGAATAAGGTAAAGAAAAGGAACCAGTGGTAAACAAGAATAACCGGTAAGGGGAAGTTTACTCCATAGAATTCCAAATTAAAACAACTTCTTAAATGCCACTTAAGAAAAGTCTTGTACGCTAGGTGTATCCTGTAGGCTAGGATACAAGATTCTTAATGGCCAGCAGCTCACACTTACGAGTCTGTCAGCAGCTTTTATGCCACCGTACATTATCTTTTGTTTCCTTGGAAGAGGAAACTATTATGCATGTTCATTCCCCATGCCTAAAATCCCCCCATTCTGGCCCCTGGATTGCCTCTGAAAAGTTGACATCTTCATCAGCCTTTTCCTTAATCACTCTGCTTGGCAGTGTATTCAATTATTCGGTTACTCATTTATTTGGTCATTTCTACATGGTCTATCCAGGAAATCCGCTAGACACTGCACCAAATACAAAGAAGGAATGGTCATATACATTTAACATACAATGTAATTCTGCAGTTAGTTTTCTTTTTTTTTTAAGATTTTATTTATTTATTTGAGAGAGAGAGAATGAGAGATAGCACAAGAGGGAAGAAGGTCAGAGGGAGAAGCAGACTCCCTGCTGTGGGACTTGATCCCAAGACTCCAGGATCATGACCTGAGCTGAAGGCAGTTGCTTAACCAACTGAGCCACCCAGGCGCCCCTGCAGTTAAGTTTTCAAATGTAACTTTTCCTTCTACATTTAAAACTTCCAAAGGCAGGGACACTTTCCTCCTACACAGAAAGTAGTAAATATACATTTACTGCTGGATGGGACACACACCAATGAACTACCTTTACACTTTCTCAGAAGTGGCATGTTTAAAATTATAATCTCTGTTACAGTCCCTGAAAAAACAATTTCTAATAGAATTATTTGGCATATACATTTCAATTCAGTGTTTATTTTTGGTTTTATACATTTGACTGATTCAAGTTGTATCCATAAAGTTCCTTATACACAGCACACAGTAGTCTGTTGACAGCAAGCAAAGCTAAATGAAGGAGAATGCCAGTATCACAGCATTTTTCTTTGGTAATATGTCTTCAGAGATCCATAAACAAGAGAAGCATAAAATAGGCCATCAATACAAACAAGAAACTAACACTCTGCAACTGAAATGTTGCAATTATATTGACACGATATTAAAATACAAATTTATGAAAATACGACTTACAATTAGAAATTTCATGTATATAAAATGATTCCACAGGAATTTTTATTTTAAAAAGATATATAATGCCATTGTTTTTTTTTTTTTTTTGAGAGCGATAACGAGAGAGCACACCGAGGGAGAGAGAGAAGCAGACTCCCCGCTGAGCAGAGAGCCTGATGTGAGGCTCGATCCCAGGACCCTGGGATCATGACCTGAGCTGAAAGCAGACACTTAACCGACTGAGCCCCCCAAGTGCCCCCACTGATTTTTTTTACATGGTTCCTTGCTTTACCTTATTAACAAATAAATAGCACCTTTGAGTCTGAACTAAAAACTCCTTGTTAACTCCACATAATTAATTCTAAAAGCTAGGAATTACTGATGAGATTAACGCTAGTATAGGAATCAGGAGACCTGGGTTCTAAAATAAGATCCCTTATCTACTAGGTGTTCATTTTTGAACAAAGTGTGCAATCCTCCAGCATCTCAATAATGCTACTACCAAACAAAATGATACCTGACTTTCTCATCCGGTCCAAGAAACCATCTAGCAAACCGTATTTAAAACAGGAGGTACGAAATACATAGTTCTTTCAAATAAGAAAAGTAGTCAAGAGAAGCAGAAATGAACAATTTTGCTAGCCACTAAAAATCCCCAAGGCACAGCCTCTGCAAGATATAGGAACATCTTCTAGGTCTCTCCATCTGTGTCTTTATTCAACATATATTTATTGAGTGCCCACTGTGCACCAGGCAGTCTTCTAGGCCCTGGGATTACAGCAATGAAATAATCAATATGTTCCCTTATGCCACAAAGCTAATATTCTAATGAGAGAAAAAGACAAAAAACAAGTAGCTCAAGATTAAGTGCCATGGAAGAATAATGCATAATCATTAGAGGGAAAGTCACAGGCAAGGGGCACATTTTGGGTGGGTGGCAAAGCACTGAGTAACATCCAAGAAAGAAGTGAATGACAAGAAGAAACCTTCAGGCATGTTGACAATCCTTAACCTAATTCCCTATCCCAGGGACAGACACATTGACTAAGCCAATCAATAAAATATTCTGTCCTAGGAATTTGGAATCAGAACTCCAGACTGTTCTCTTTTAAAAGGCTTGAACCAGACAGTGATGTAAAAATGGCCAGGGGTGTCTTATTTCTGCTTGGTGGGCAAGACCATTGATCATCAGAAAAATGGAGATGGGCACAAAGGAATAGAGACCAGAAACCACACGGACCTGGGGAGATGGAGGGACTTTAGCTCCACATGGTTTTCCAGCTCCTGGTCCTGGTCTCTTTTTAAGCTACAGCTGTGTTTTAAGCCTATGAGGTCTGTGAGGTCCAACTGGATCCTTCCGGTAATTTTCCAAATGGGGGTAAGCTTTCTAAAACATGATTACAACTAGATTAAATTACGATCCTGGTTCCATTTGGAAGCACATTACATACAAATGAATTTATCAAATTCATACTAAATACTGTCAACCAAGAGAAAGTGTGGTATGGTGGGAGGGGTACATGGGATAAAGATGTGATGACAGTGAGTCAAGGGGCACCATGGTGAGAGCTCCACAGAAGTACATAAAGAAGAGTTTAGAATGTCTCTAAAGCCCAGGAGAGATTCCTGCATTGTGGCACCTTGAATGGGGAGTTGACAGGCCTTATCACCAATGTGGCCATTTGTTAGGCTCTAAAAGAACCCTACCTTTGAGAAACTTTTCATGACAGTGCCAATTTGCTCATCTTAAAGTCTTCAGTTTTTTTAATGCACATATCAAAATTCCACTCCAAACATACCAGAGAAATACCTGCATGAGTATGCGTTCTTACATGTACAAGCATATTTACTGCAGCAGCCTCTAAGAGAGTAATGTAAATCTATCAAACAGCAATTGGGTTTACTAAAATATGGCATAATCCTAAGCAAACATCAAATACATAAAAAGTAATTAGGTAATTCAACATGTATCGGCATGCATTGATAATCAAACTATAGTGACAAATGGAAAAAAGCAATAGCTCAGGAAAGAAATACAATATTGTCTGAGGTTCAAAAATAAGCATATATGTGTGTAGGCTTCTCCATGTAATGAGAATATGCAAAGAAAAGTTTGTCAGGCTCTCCTCCCAATTCTTCACTGAGGAGAACTGGTCAGATCGGGATTAAAGGGGCATTTTCATTGTCACACCTGCTGTCTTCTGTGTTGTTAACGTTCTTCACAAGTAGGCACACACCACTGTTCTAATCAGCCGGCCAGTGAGGGTACACCACTCAACCCAGGCCTGCGCGGAGAATGAAAAAAGTGTTCAACTGTAAGAAAACTGTCAGCAAGCCCACAGGTTTAGAAATGTGAGGGAAGAGAAACTTTCTTTCTTTCTCTTTTTTTTAAGTGCACTACAGATCTGTAAAGAAAGAAACCTAGGGCTTTTACATCTTGCTCACAGAAGCCGGCGGTTTTAGAAAAGGCGCAAAGTGCTGCAAGTACTAAAAATACCCCCTACGCCGCCACAGCACCCAGCTTTCATTTAAGTCTCTTTACTATAAATAGCATACGAATAACACCCATACTCCCTAGAGTACTCCCAGAAGTGTGGCTAGAGAGGAAGTCACACTACTTTCTAGGCTAGAATATGGCTTTGGCAAAGGAGGGAGCTCCTTTGGGGAAGGAAAAATAGGGTTGTCATGGCAGCCTGACAGGCTTTCCCCAAAAGGCTAAATTGGGAGATACTTGGTTAAAAATAAAGCAGAGACTTTTCCTCAGAAACAGGTGACTGGGGTTTTGCCTTATTTGTGAGGATTCTTTTATCTGGCACAGCAAGCAAAGCTCCTTGTGGGAGCCTTCCATTTGCGAGCGCGCAACCACCCTTGGGACGGAGGTGCCATAGACTAGTGTGCTCTTAATTTGTAAACACATGTGTAGTTTATTTAGGAATATGACAGCCATGCCAAGAAACGTCCTCTCACTTCCCCTCATACTTGTGAACACCACACACCAATTACCAACTGTCTGGCTGTAATTTTTTAAAAATGTCTTTTCTCCTCTTCCTGCGAATTTTGGACTCCATTTGATGTTGTTAGAAAAAAATACAAAAGTCCCCACCCCCAGCAATTGTTTGTTTCCTGTATCATGTGGAGGTTCACACCACAGTTACAACCGAAATTTACCCTAAAATCTTTCATCGCACTTACTTGGGGGGCAGTGTTTCCTTCAAACACCAGTCTACAACACGACAAAATGCTAAGTATGTTTGGATTGGCTGTATTCTCCCTTGAATGAGGTTTGTTTCTTTTTTTTTTTTAACTAAAAAGATAAATCCTACAGCTATATTAAGTTTCAAAATGCCTCATAGCAGGTGTGGATATAAAGTGGCAGGTGAGTGGGGGATTCACACAAAGAAACCCAGAGACATTTTATCTATACAGTACATTTATGATTTCTGGACACCATGGGTAATATAAGGCATGTTCCTTCATTCTGTCCTTGACTGGTATTGGGTGGAGAGAACTAAAATAATTAGACAACCAGAAAATAAAACTAGAACAGAAGGTTTGTCTTCTCAACCTCTGAAATCTCACCTGTCTAAAGGTTAGGATTCCAATCCATTCACTGGGTCATTTATTCAAGCAGTTGAGCCCACTCAGGGTCAGGCTGAAGTTTGAAACACTACATTTTCTTTTACTGGTTTTAATAGGGTTTAAAACTGTGAAAGCCAGAAAAATGTAGAAGTAATTTGCTGCCCACATACCCACAACACAGAGACAGTTTGTCCCCCACATACCCAACATGATTCAGCTTGCCCTTAGCTTGACTTTTTTTAGCTATTACGGAGACCTTATCCAATGAGTAACCCTTCTAGTAAAAAATTTACAGCAAATCTTTTTCAAATGTCCTGTTTTAAATAGTCCATGAGGAAACATGCTATTTATATTACTTAAAATCTTGTGAAACTAAGAAATGCAAATTTAACTACAGTGACATACATATTCACCTTTCATACTGAAAAATATCCAAAAGTCTTGACAACGTTCCATGAAGACAGGGCTTCCAGGAAACATAAATCCCATACATTATTGATAGGAAAATATGGGATAAAATGGGAGGGAAATTTCCCTCTTTGGAGGGAAATTTGGCAATACCTACATATTGACAATGTGTATGTCTTTTGCTCCCAGAATTCCATTTCTAAGAATGTATCCCACAAACCACCTGACACATACGCACAAAGACAAATGGGCAAGACATTCACTGCAGCAGCATTTGGAAAAGCTAAAGATTAAAACTAAGTCAAATGTCCATCAATAGGTGAGGGGTCCAAGTACCTCAAGTATGCACTTCCAAATAATGGGATGGTCTGCAGCAAAGAACAAGGTAACTCTGTGTGGAAAAAGTTGAGTCCAGGAAAAAAATACAGACGGCCTGATCAATGGATCGAGACAAACACACAAACATATGAGTATACACACACTGTCTCTGGAAGGACACTGGTAACAGTGACCCTGCCTTGCAGAGGGACTGCCTTGTCACGGTGTATGTACCCACTACTCACACATTTTGGTTTTCATACCATGTACATGTAATACTTATTCCGAAGTAAATAACTATGTTTTCTAAAATCTCACAAAATCTTATCTAAAATTTTCAATGGCTAACTCAACACTTTTCAGTCAACTGTTAATACAAATCCCATTCTTCTCACAATGCTGACTTTCTCCCACCAGCTTACTTAAAACTGTCAAATCCTTGAAGGCGCAATTTAAATCCTAGTTCAGTGTGGGGCTTTTCTCTAGCTACTCTACCCAGACGCAAGCCTTGTCTCTGTGAAAGGTGTGGAGGACATGGTCTATCCTCCATTTTGTGTCTGTGCCACCAGGCTTCTTATTGTATAAGCTCCTGTCTTCTCACTAAGAAGGTAAACTTGAGGGGAAGGAGAGGGGTGGGGGAGAAGACTTTGTCCACACCTCTCTCTATGTCTTGTTAGAGCGCAAAACACACAGCAAGCAGGCTCTAGATAGGTGTAAGCCGTATGCCCAGAAATTTACAGAGAGCAGTCATATTGGGTAAAAGGCAATATCTGAAACATACACACACACACAGCACAACCTAGAGAACAGGGCAGGCGTCAATAAATATCTATATACACTTTATTCTAAGAGCCCATTCAATGTCTCCTAGCACAAAAGAATATTAGGCTTGTACTATTTCAACCTTTTTTGAGATATTACCCTTTAACTCAATAGACTATGTGATTTTGATGTTGTTACATCAGAATTTAAGTTCAGAATATCACTATAATTTGTGAGAGGTAAAGGAGAGTAATACAAAGATGATTATAAAATACTAAATATAAAAATTAAGAATATAACATTCTCGTTTGCTACCCTTGTACATTCTTGCTTTCCTCAGAACAGCAGGTCAAATATTGCTTTCCATTTTCTCTCATATTTAATTACCATTAATAGTCTTTAACTCTGACAGGTTAACAAATTCTTCCTTTAAAAAATAATGACTCTGGGGGGCCTGGGTGGCTCAGTTGGTTAAGCCACTGCCTTCGGCTCAGGTCATGATCCCGGAGTCCCGGGATCGAGTCCCGCATCGGGCTCCCCCTTCTCTGTGGGGAGCCTGCTCCTCCCTCTGCTTCTGCCTGCCACTCCCCCTGCTTGTGCTCACTCTGTCTCTCTCTCTGTATGTCAAATAAATAAATAAAATATTTTAAAAAATAATAATAATGACTTTGCACTGAACCAAGTTAACTCTAAATGGCAGTTACAAATATGAAAATATTACCTGACAACTCACTCCAAAATGACAGACTTGGATTTTAATCTAAACACATGCAAATACCAAAATAATGTAAAATAAATACACTTTTAACCATTTTCCCCTCATTTATAAGGCTGTCTTGATCATTTTGTATAGCACTGCTTAACATAGGACATTTAAAGAAGTCTAAAGACTCATCACGGACCGTTACGAATTTTCATACTGCTTGTCTCCACAGATATTTTAACACACGTCATTTAAAATTCTTTCTTTTTTAAAGATTTTATTTTTAAGAGATCTCTACACCCAACATGGGGCTCAAACTTACAACCCTGAGGTCAAGAGTCACATGCTTCATCAACTAAGCCAGCAGATGCCCCCATTTGAAATTCTTAAGGAAAAAAAAATTAAAAAATAAAATTTTTAAGGTATACAGTGGCAGATGTAGAGTTATCTGATTTTCCAGTGAATTCAGCGTTATGAGGAGTAATGTTTTGGAAAATGGAAGAAAGTGCCATGTTATTTTGGCTGAGATTGGCCCTTCTTGATTCTTCCCTGGAAGGTTCTCTTAATTTACCTGTAAAGATCTATGCTTAAAAAAAAAAAAAATTAAACAACCATAGTAAGTATGAAAGATACATAAAATAGGAACATCACTCTTGCGATGAATCGTGATGGTATTAGGGTGGGAAAAGCAGCAATCAGAGTGAAGAATGACCAGGAAGGTCAGAGAACAAGAGAAGAGACAGAAACTCAGCGATACAGGAAGGGATGTCACAGGAAAGAAGAGGAAAGTGAGATTAAAGAACTAGCAGCCTCAGAAATTATCTGTCCAGGGACAGCAATTTTATCTTGTGGTCCAGCCATGAGTCTCTGGAGAGAGTACTAGTGTCTTTTATTGAACTAAAATTTTGCTCTAGGTACTTCCAAACTGAGGTTCTAGGGATCTGAGTTAGATGAAGAAAAAAATAGTTTTAGGTTACAAGGGTTTCTGGTAATTTCTGTGCTACCAGGTGTTACAGGGCTTGGTTCAAAACCCGAAAAACAAATATTCAAGAAGCCTGTATGCTTGCCAAGTATGATGGCAAGAAAAGTTCTCACGATTCTCGTGAATGTGTAAGATTTTCAAGGGACTGCAGAAAACACTATATTTAGCTTAAAGCAGTCTCAAGTCAAAGCAAAAGACCTTGTGTGTCCAGAGTGAACCCACAAAATCAGAGATCACAAAGAACACAGAGAGGGCACTATAAATTAAGAACTGGTGATATGATAGTTAATATTTCCTCAAATTAAGGATGTTGCACAATAGCAATATTACCTCAGTTTGTCATTAAAATTTTATGACTGGCACAATCCTAGATCTGTGCCATTATCCACTTAGAAGACTAGATGATACCATCATGAGTTTTCATAAAGAGGCTTCAATTCAGCCCAGGGGGACTGAGAGATAAACACGTGAGTCCTTGCAGTGTCTTCTAGAAAGCAAGCCTCCCTGACATTTCAATTATCCTGCAATATCATGGCGATCCTTAATTCCACTGTTTCTCCTGAAAGCAACTGTATTTCTCTATTTCTCTACTTGAGAGCTTTTCCCTGAATCTAAGAGGGTCCACAGAAATGACCAAGGCAAACACAAGGAGCCTTGTGCAACTTCAGGGCAAACTATTACATTCCAGTATATTCTGTATGAACTATAACTTAGCAATAACTGCCACTCTATTCCATTCAACTGCCTATTTATTCCTGCGCTGTTTTTATTTCCTTCAGGCATATGAGCCCTCCTATAAAACGCAAGCAGGCTTAACTTTTGCAATACAAGAGGTAGAATGCATACTACCTGGAAAAACAATAATTACAAGAAAGCATGTAGAGGAAATATTTGCATCAAAATAAAAGATCAGGAAAGGGTTTAGCATGAGGCCACTTTATTTGGCAGGCCCTCCCGGAGTGCTTCCAGGCCCAGGTGGTCTTTAACTCAGAATCCTCCTAACGACCCTATGCAGGTAGATAATATTACCCCATTTTACAGATTATACCGAGCCACAAACTGGTGGATTAATTTGTCCAAGGTCACACAGCTATAAGTTAGGGAGGCAGAATTTGAAAACAGGCATACTTTTAACCACTATATCTGCATATGTTGCCTTTAAAAAAATGTAATTGAGCTAGAAGTGACATAGAATCTCATTTTTGTTTTAGGTGTACAACATAATGGTTTGATATATGTGGACATTATGAAATGACCACCGGGGGGTACGTTTAAAATTAACATCCATCACCACATATAGATACAATTTGTTTCTTGTGATGAGAACTTTTAAGACCTATTCTCTTAGCAACATTCAAATATATAAGGCAGTGTTGGTAACTCCACTCACCATGCTGTATATGATATCCCCAGGACCAACTTATCTTATAATTGGAAGTTGTAGTATTTTATTACTCCATTTCTCATAAAAAGGTACTTCTTAAAATACCATAGATTGAATTATTGTGGTAACTTTCATTTGTTGATTTATTCATTTATTTATTTCTAAAAATTTTAAGTAGTCTCTATACCCAACATGGGGCTCAAACTCACAACCCAGAGACCAAGAGTCATACGCCCTATTGAGGGAGCCAGTCAGGTGCCCCTGGAAACCTACATTTGTACTCTTGTTCTACATTATAAACCAGAGAACATGTTCACATTTACAATCTCACTTCATTCTTAAAACATTCTCATGAGGGGGTGCCTGGGTGGCTCAGTCGGTTGGATGTCTGCCTTCAGCTCAGGTCATGATCTCAGGGTCCTGGGATCGAGTCCCACACCGGGCTCCTTACTCAGCAGGGAGCCTGCGTCTCCCTCTGCCTGCTGCTCCCCCTGCTTGCGCTCTCGCACGCTTTCTCTGTGACAAAATCTTGAAAAAAAAAAAAAAAACCACTCTCACAAGGCAGACAAGACATCATCTTCTTCCTATTTTTGCAGATCAGAAAACTGAAGGTGAGAGACTTGGGGCATTCTACAATCAGTTTTTGTAACTTCTGCTCACTTAATCTACAACCTAAACCCTACGAAAGCCAAATCACACACCTAAGAGTAAGTATCATTGTCAAATTCACTAACTGCAATTTCATGGGTGCTCTAATTCTAAAAGAAATTAAATAAGAAGCTAAGTCTTTACTACCAGAGCTTCTGAATACTACAATTCCCTAGAAAGCCCAGCTAATCAGATACTGCCACACACATGATTGACAGAGAAGGACCGGTTCCAAACACACACACACACACACACACACACACGGTGACTGGCGTGTACACAGAAACACCATGGTTTTCCAAGAGATGTTATACACCATGAGTCTGAAATATTTAACCACTTTGAAATAGGTTTCAAAAAATGACAGTTTAAAACATTAATAATTAATAACAGCTTATGATTCAATAAAGTTATCCTCATCCGAATGTCCTTAAAATATTGTTTTTATGACTAATTTGCTATGGCTTAATATTTTGTTCTTATATAATAATAATACAGCATTTCTCTTACTACTAATGTAAGTAATGCTCAAAGACCCTGATGCTTATTTCCTCTTCGGGGAAAAGACCTAATAATACTTCTCCCTAAAGTTCGTAACTTGTTGAACTATGCTTTCAATGTATTTTAAATTCATTTAAACTTTATTCAATGCACAAAGTAGATTAATCTGCCCAGAATTCTAGGCAATTTGGCCATTAAACTTAGATTTTACTGAGGCCTATCACATTTCTTATTAGGTCAGGTGGAAGGAAAGTATATGTTGAAGTTTCTTCTATATCCAATCCAAATATTCTTATCATAACTGAAATGTGAGAATACAAATAAAAGAGAAGATCCAAAGCAACATGTATATAGGTGTCATTAAAAAGCATTTTCATAAAGACCCATACTCTGAAATGGCTTTAATGCATGCTGGATCATTGACTGAAAATTGTGAATTCTTAATGGGGTCACTAGGTGGCATATTACTCTGGGTTGTCTGAAGAGTTACCTAATAAGGAGAGTAGTACAGGACCAAAAAAATAAGAAAAGTACTTACTATGCTTTCATAAAGAATCTCTGTTTGTGTTGACATGAACTAGAATTATTCGAACTAAAACAACACAACTATTCCATAATCTGCCATATCTTGTGAAAAAGGAAATTATTGAAACTAAAAATCACAACAGTAAAATCATGGGTGAATTGTACCATAACATTTGTCTAAATAATTACAGGGCTTTAAAACATTATACAATATTTTATGTAACATTTATATGTTATATATAAATATACATTATATATTTATATGTCACACATCTATATTTTATACTATAAAAAATTCTTGTGTGCTAGAGATAAATAGGCTTGATTAAGGTAAGATATCTGAGCAGCTTTTATTATCTTAAGTAGCTTTTAACTGTATCATTAACAGACTCCTTTCTTGTAAGTAACAGAATTAAGAGGCATTTACTTGGTATAAAATGTATTCTAAAAAATTTGAGGCTAGTGCACCATTTTATAAAAAGAAAGGGAAAATACATGTGTTTAGAGTCTTCTAAACAGTCCAAGAAAGATGAGAATTTCTAAAAAGTCTAAAATATGGAACTGAATTTTCAAAATGTTTATATAGCTTTCTTCTATTTTTTGCTGTTTTGTATTTTCTGGTATTTCTAGGACAAATAGTATACTTAAAAGACAATAAAGTACATTCTCTACAAGATAAACATAAAACAAAATGGCAGATGGAAAAACAAGAATATAAAGATTTAAAAGTAAATGATTTTTAACTCCACCATTCTGTGCTCACCTTTTATGTCCAGCAGAAAAGCAGGAACACAGAATGTAACAGCTGATCTATCTTTGGACAAGGCATTGCTATCACGAAGTGAAGTTTTCTTTATAGCTCTCTGACATTTTCATAAACTAACAAGGTTTTTGGTTTGTCCTTTTCAATTTACCTCTGCATTAAATATTATGCCTTTTTATATTTCTGATTAATATGTCAACCACATCATTCAGTGTCCCTTCAGAAATCAAGTTACCTCACTTCAGTACATCCACAGTTTCGGAGAAGATTTAGTCGTGTTCTTATCAAGAACTGTCTACACATCAAGTTAAATTAAACATTTTCTATTTCTTCAATCACATATATTACCAATATCATGATACTGGTTCTCTTTTCAATATATCAAACAACAAAATGTCCATTTGCATTTTTTGTTTTCTTGAGCTTTCAACTTAACAATATCTAATATATAAATTTATATAAATATATAAATATATCTAATATATAAATGAATATTTGGGGACATCTAGCACTGATATACTTTAAAAGTGCACCTTGAACTAGGTGTTATATGTAAGTGATGAATCACTAAATTCTACTCCTGAAAACAGTATTACACTATATGTTAACTAATTAGAATTTAAATAAAAATTTAAAAGAAAAAATAAATCACAACATCACAATCACAATTTATTTCTCCATTCACCGGTTGATGAACTTTGGACTATTTCCAGTTTGAGGCAATTATAAATAAAGTGCTATAAGCATTTAAAAAAAATATGCTTTGAAAATGAAAATGTATGGCCAAACCATTCAACAACAGATTAAAATACAACTATATTTTTAAAAATAAGAATGAGGGCGCCTGGGTGGCTCAGATGGTTAAGCGTCTGCCTTCGGCTCAGGTCATGATCCCAGGGTCCTGGGATCGAGTCCCGCATCGGGCTCCCTGCTCCTTGGGAGCCTGCTTCTCCCTCTGCTTCTCTCTCTCTCTCTCCCTCTGTCTCTCATGAATAAATAAATAAACTCTTTAAAAAAAATAAAAATAAGAATGAGATTAAAAGGAAAAGAAAGGGCTATTGTTGGTGAAATATATTTACTGAAGGAATTAAAGTGAGAGCCAACTAACTTCCAGGATGTTCAATTATGTTTTCACACTTGATTTGATCTTATTTACCAGCTGAAGTTGGTGCACACTGCAGACCCCCGAGCTGCCATTTACAAAGTAAGATGAAAGAACTTGAAAAGAAGATGCATATCGTCCATATAGCGTCCATATATTTATTTTGACTTTGACTTAACCTTGAATAAAAATATTATTTTCCAGAACTAAATAGCATTTTAAAAATTATAATTTAGCATCACAGTATTATGATCTCATCTAATAGATACTTAGCACCATCAAGTTTCTAATTTTAGTCCTAAAAACACAAGCTATTTCTGAGTTCTGACTTTTAACTTGGAAAGTCAATTTTTCACTATTGTATTTCATCAAGTTAGGATGTCACTGATTATGAGATGTGTCATTTTTAACGTAACAAAGAAAAATACTGTCAATGAAATTGTGACAAAGCATTATCACACGAACTTCCAAATTTATTCATTTTGAAAATATTGAGACTCACTCATACATAAACTTGTATCATATATGGCCTTTATATATACTGAAATAAGAAGATACAAGTGAAATAAACTGGTTGAGGCATTCTTAAAACTTCACGCATTCCGATCTTTACCTATCCTTATCATGAGTGCCTTTGGTTGTTGGGGCACCACTGAGTCTTCACACACACGATACATTCCTGTGCCATCAGGATGGTGGTTGACAAAGCATTTCTTAAAGTGCTCCACAACTATCTCCAGGATATTCTCCCAACCCATTGTCACCCTTTCTGCAAATTCCTCCCTTAAAGGATCCTAAGTACTTTGCTGACTGAAAATGAGGCACTGCAGTCACATCAACAGGAATAACAACCAAGTTTGCACACTCAGCCTATGACAATTACATCATGGCTGCCGTGTGGACAACAGCAGAGATGAGAATTCATGGATTGTAAAATACACCCCAATTCAGGCATATTTAAATCTGTAAGGTAGTCTGCCATGTAGAACTGAGGAAATACGATATTCATATTCATTTCTTGTTAATCTGCCATTAGAATAGGAGTCTTCATACATCTCCTATCCTATAATCCTAAAATCTAAGCTAATTTTTGTACTCTCAACTAAGTATTTAATAAGGTTGAATACACAACGCTTTTTAAATACCCATGTCTGAGCTTTCACAACCAACTAAAATATACATGTTAGGTTCAACAAACTGCTTTTTATTACAACAATAAGTATAAACATGACTGGCATTAAAGTTTTATGGTATAATGATATAGTACAAACACGTGTTTTTGTTAAGAACCCTGCATACCTTGTGAATTTGGTACGGACTTTAGTGAAAATGGGTTTCTTTGCTATGACTGTGCATACACCAGTCCTGAACTCTAAATATGTGAGATTTGAACTGTGTTCATGAATCTAGATGGCTATAGGATCCTAGAAATTTGCTGTATGTATTAATAAAGCGTAAGGAACTGAATTATATTGCTAAATCTATTAAGACAGGTATTTCTACTTCTTTTCCCCTGGGGTGGGGCTGGGGCAAAATCTGATCTCAGTATTTGGACAATCAAAGGAGTAAAACAAAATTTTTTTAACCAATAAAGGAAGATAGATTTACATTAGATAAATGTTTGCCACAGAGATTCTCTAGAGACCCAGGAACTCAGTTCTAAAGGTCTACTCAGAGAGAAGTGGAGACTGTGGCCAACACAACTAAAAACAAAGATGCAAACTTGGGGACCAGGAGACTGCCCATTGGGTGTCTGTTTGCTTGTTTTGGCCACACAATGAGTTTTTTCAAAAAATATTATTAATTAGTTTCAATATTTCAATATCAAGAGATTTAACCTAGAAATCTAGACTTCTGGCTTTTCCTACAAAATTATGAAACGGTCTACACTGCCCCGCATTTATTCATTTATATTACTTCTCTAGCTTTTTAATCATGAGCCTGCCGCCCTGGTTCAAAATAAGGTCTCTCCAAACAACCTTTTCAGATGAACACGAAGTCATACACCACAGTATAAAATACACCCCTTAAGTCTGTGTTCTTATTGCTCTTTAGGTTATCTTTTTATTTTTAAAATGTATTACCTTTTCAAACTGCATCTCTTAGAGCTCTTTCTCTAAATAAACTTCTAAAGTTGCTGTCCCTTGAGATGACAACTCTGCTGAGGGCAGGACAGCACCCACGGAGCCCAGGACAGTATGCTTCACCCTAGTGCAGGTGTCCACGGCTCATTCTGCTGGGCTCCAACCTGCTGGCAGCTCAAGAAAAGAGACCTGACATGCTTAACACTAAGCCTTTCTTTCCCAGCGCATCTTTCTACAAATGAGATCTGCTGACCGCTGACCAGCTTCAAGAAGATGAAGCCCCAAACTGCAGTGGCATGAGGTTTCATATGTCAGTCAAAGGCAGTCAAAGACATTTTAAAGTACATGACAAGACAAGAACCACTGTGAACATCATTTAAAACTCCAAAACCCACCCAAAAGACATGGATATAGTCAATGATAGGTGTCAAGGTGTATTCCCAGGTGGATTTTCTCCTACGTCTCTGTGTTAGTAAGCTTATTTTCCTGATAAGACCAATCATACTTTGTCATCACCATTACTTCTAGCTGAGTCTCTCAGCAGGAATATTTCCAACATTTTAGTTTTGTATTTCTTCCATTTTTAAGTAAGACCTGAGTCCAAAATTCTTACAGAAAAGGGTGTGGAATAAAGAGAAGGAAATAAAAATAGAAATCGTTAAGATTTCCAGTTATAAAAAATTTAAAGCAAGACATTTTTAGGAAATATTTAGATAAGCCACATTTTATTGGAATATATCCTCTTAGAATTGAAATTTATAAAAATTTTCTAGTTATAAATAAATGTAAAGAAAGAAAAAATTTTTAAAGCATTCAAGGATGAAGGCTACATTGTAGTTTGTATCTGAAGACCACAAAACAGACTTTGAATGCCTTTCCTGAATAGTTAATCCTAAATCTTCAATATGTAACACATGTCAAGACCAGAAAGTACTCTATGGGGTAACACCAGTTTTGCTCAGCAGAGTGTGGAATAACTTGACTAACTGCATATTTTCACGAGGCTGGGTATCACCCAAAAAGAAAGAAAAACAACAAACCTACCCCACCTAGAAAAAAAGCTCAGAACCTAATATTTTAGGAATTTTCCTGCTTCTTTTGTAAAGATCACACAACCCATAAGTGAATGCCTTTCCGATACTTTTTTGTAGTGTCTCCTGCAGAGCAAAGCAGTTAATACTTGTTTATGGTGACGTGTGATTACAATCACATATTCAGAAGCTCTTGAGGAAAGGCCCAGTGGTGCAGCTCACCTCGTTTTACCCACAAAATAGTGGCTACTGTTTTCAGTCACAGCCTACCTGGCTCAGAAACTTCTGTGACCTTGCCCAGGGGCATTTTCTCACTCTAAATATTAAAAGAGAAATAAATGAGAATGATTGACGCTATACTATGAAATGAGAATTATATACTACTTGCTCCACAGTAAAGTTAACCACAAGCATATGCAACAAAGAGGGCATCTGATATTTTAAGCCTCTAACTTACTTCTCTCTGGAGAAACCTTACTAAATGCACCAACATTTTTCCTGGCCTAGTGCAAAAAACAGAGTCCATTTCATGCACTTTGTTCTGGGATAGTCAACAGTTTGTGCTCAGGGAGAGAACACAAACTGCTCTCTTCCCAGTTCTGCCATTGTTCAAAGTGCCTACTTTAAGTAAAAATCCTCACCAGGAACATTACCACAAGAATTTTACTTTTCTCCTATGCTCTAGGATCTACTTGCTGCCATTCACTAAGGCTCATGAGTGGCTCCTACCTCTATTTATCTCAGTGTCACAGTCTCTCCACAAACCCCTTCCCACCATCTCCATCTTTCTAGGATGAATAGACAAAATTTCGCTATATTTTACCCCCCAAAAAACCCTCAAGAGTAATAAGTGACTAGACAAATAGTAAGATATAGAAATATGAATACAACAGAAATCAAACTATAAAAACTTATAGAAGAAAACCTCCTGGCAAGTTCTTCGATAATTTTTATGTTTATAGAATTATTACATGACCAAAGAATTCTACTCTTAGGTAAATATCCCAAAGAACTGGGAACAGGTGTTCAAATAAAAACCTGTCCACAAAAGTTTGCTGCAGCTCTATTCACAATAATCAAAAGATAGAAACAACCCAAATGTCCCCCAACAGATGAACAGACAGACAAAATGGGGACTACCCATACAATGGAATATTATTCAGCTAATAAAAAGGAATAAAGTACTGATACATGTTACAGCATGGATAAACCCTGAAAATATGCTAACTGAAGGAAGCCAGGCACAAAAGGATACATATTGTATTAATCATAAACCACTCATATGAACTATCCATTATGGGCAAATCCATAGAGAGAGAGAAAGCAGATTAGTGGCTGTCAGGGGTGGGGGAGGAGGGAATATGGAGTGACTTCTCAGTGGGTACAGGGTTTCCCTTTGGGGTGATGAAAACGTACTGGAACTAGAGAGTGGTGATGGTTGCACAACATCATGAATGTAGTTAATGCCACTGAGTTGCATTTTAAAATGATTACAATGCTAAATTTTATGAGTATTTTACCATAGTAAAAACAAAACAAAAAAATGGCAAATCATCTGTGTTCTAGATGTGAACAACGTACAAACTGTCCCTGCGGGGACATCTGTGAAAGGCCCAGGAATGAAAGAACCGAAGGACTTGCTTTGCCATTAAATAGGGTGTTCTCTCTCAAACTACTTCAGATCCCATACTTAAATTTAGAATGTTTCATGTGGTGGTGGTGTTAAATATAATCACAGAAGGGCAGTTGGGGTTCTATGTGAAAGATGAGAAGATTAGTAACCATTCCTTGTTTTCTTTACACTTCATTATAAAAATATAGAACTAGAATACAAATTAGTAAATGAGGTGGCTACGTTGTTAGGGACAAAATCACCTAGAGGTGTTGAATAGAAGGTGACAACTATACAGAGGAGGTTCTCTTGGGCCTCTGTCCCCTTCAGCAAACACATAGCACTGCCCCAGATTTCGCCCATTACACCACCGCTTTCAAAGTATGGATTCAGCATTGTTGCTAGAAAGTGGTGTCTGAAAACCCATAAGCATCATAGATGTCAACTGTTTTGACTACATTTCAGAGATTAGAAAATGGGAGGTTTCAGTTCAGTGTCACAGTGGTAAACGCAATGAACGTTTTTATATTTTCATATATACTGTCGTAAATGTCTTCAACATAATTATCCGCTGATTCTGAATCTTAGGTTCCTTCCACTACGCCTCCTCTTGCTGCTGTTTTATCAGAGTCAAGAAGAAAACACACAATGTGTTGTTCTCTTATATACCACCCTGTTGGTATATTCTAATATGCCAACCTGTTCCCTCACCCTAAATGGTTAAATAAAATACAGAATGCAAGGATTTTTCCCTCATTCTAAATGGTTAAATAAAATACAAAGTGCAAGGATTTGTAAAACATCCACTACCATGCTAATAGATGAATGCTAATAATCTAAATCCTATCTGACATGTACCATTAGAAGTTAACATTATACTAATTTTTATTATTATAAGGCAGTATATTCCATAAATCAAAATTTCACTAGAGGTAAATATGCAATTTTCTAAAACAATTCAAAAGATAATTTTTATACAGATTGTTATATTTGGATGACAAATTTCTAATTTTTTTATTAAAGAGGAAGGAAATCAACATTACAAATAAATTTTACCGTCAGGGAACAGGCTATTCTGACTTGTAAAGAGGAAAAGAGAACAAGTCATATGAAAATGATACACAAAAATTCTGATTCAGGGCGACAACGAACTTAGAGCTCTTAAATTCTGCTTTTCTTCATAGGCAATAAGTAGTACCAAATCTCATCTTCTGCTAGCAATGCTTTTAACACTAAGGACAACAACAGCTACTCTATGATGTAGCCTACTTTTGGCCAAGGAGCTGCACCAGGCACTTAACATACACATACTGTTTCTAATCCTTACATTAAACCTCTACATAAACAATATATCCTCAGTTTAAAGACTAGGAAACCAGGGCTTAGGACATTAGGCAACCTGACAAACTTTGTATAAATATTAAGATGAAGAACAAGGATTAAACTCTGGTGTATGTGATTCCATTCTTGCTCTTGCAAAGTTATCTTCCTTGGCCAAAGCCCAAGATCATAATATTTTTTGGAGAACCTCCACTTTAAAGATTACAGAAAAGCTTTAAAAGCAGAAGATAAAAGGCACATATTGACACAATAGTTTAATGCAGCTACATTAGTACCTCTACTTTCTAAAGACAAAAACTAGAATTGGCATGTTTATAATTTACATGAAGTACTATAGCATAATGCCAAAAACTTATCCCCTAACAGACCTTTATACAGAGATGAAAGATGAGCATTAAAAGCATTTTCAGCAGGTGGACTAAGGAGAGAAAATGTGTCATTAAATCTAAGCATTTAAAATTGCTGTTTTGTAGGTTTTACACTTTGATAATACAGAGGACCATCCATTTTTAGTTTTGTTCTAGAGATCCCCTAAAATAGCAAAAATCAGTGAAAGACAGCAAAAACTTCACAAGCACCCATGTGTTGCTGCAAGTTCCTAGCACCTCTTTCAAGCATACTCACTTAACTGAATTCATCAAAAGTCATATCTAAAAAATTCTTAAAAGGAAAGGCTAGAATCCTGGAACCTATTATTGCTATTCTAACTTCATAAATAATCTGTGTGTTTTTTTCTAATTTGAAGACATGAAGAACAGTTGAGGAGGATGAGCCCTGCTTGATGGATCAGAAAAGGGACTTCAAATATCTGAAGCCAAGCTGTTTCTCGTGCTTCTTGATTTGTCCAAAACAACAGAGTGAAATAACCCACATGTGTGGCAGGAGGCTGTCCATTAAATTTCTGATAAACATCTCTATGGGGGCAGTGGGGTGGGAATCGTAAAATCATCATTGCGGTTGGTTTTGTTTTTAAAAAGAAACTTTGAAGTTATTCATAAATATTTACTTGAACACATGATTCACTTAATTATCTGTAATTACACAGAAAATCTTTTTCATTAATATTCAGACAACTGTGGTTCTGCTTCTGTATGTAGTTTTGATGTTGCCTCTATGTGAAAGTGAATTAGACTTAAAAATGGTGGAAACGATATTTAAGATAACATGATCATGTTTCAAAGAGATGTTCCAATTTTGTAAAATGCCAAGGTAAATTACCTGGTGGTGAAATCACTGCAAGTAAAGACTAAATAAGCCAGCATCGTGAAAATAACAAAGGAAAATTACACACTGTTCCCAGATAAATTATCTAGAGGTTAAACTTCATGTCAAGGAATTAGCTTGGTTTGCTATAATTATCATTTAATTTTTCATTAAGTACTCACAAAACACTGACATTAAATATGACACCAATGCTCAGAATTATGAAACCTATATTGTAAGGCAAGGCATATTTCATATGCCTTATTTGCAAAAATTACTGTGCACAATCCTCAAATCAAGGTTTATCAAGTTTAGTTTCTGATGTGTGTCTTTATTTGTATTTGTAATTTATTGAGTAGACTGTGTACTAAGTGGGGGGGCAGTTATTGTTAATTAGAGGCTTAAGAGATATGGGTTTCTGTAAGTCTCTAAATTCCTTGCTGTACTTAAATCACAATGGTTAACAATGAGCAGCACTGAAGGGAAAGTGAAAAGTAGAATAAAAGTTCCTCATTCTCAGAAGTTCACTGGGTGCTACCCTGTACACGTACCATGTACCACCAGTTGACTCCCTCAAATCTTGCTCTTCACCCTTAAAACTCACAAAACATTGACTGAATTCCAGGAGGAAAAAGACACTTGAGAGCAGTGTATAGAAGTCTTTAAAGTTCAAGCCAGCTGGAAGAGTGCATTAAAATGTTCCTTCCTCGGGACCCAAACATGACAGGGTTTTACCCCCACACGGTTCCTTCTACCTAAAATGTCCTCTCCAGAGCTGATCAAGTCCCTGTCAGGACTGAGCTCACAGATCAAGGGTCGCCACTGCGAGGCCTTCCCTGCTACCTCCCTGCTGAGTTTTCAACTCCTTCCCTGGCAATAGTAGTCACCCCCTCTCTGAAATCTAGTTTTTCTCTAGAGTAGAGGCCTCTCGTGGAATTTCCATATTGAATTATTACTAGTACCCACTTGGTATGTTTATTGCCAATCTTGTTCCCTGATGAATCCCTTGCACCTAGAATAGTGAGTGCTCAAAAACTGTCTGTTCAAAGAATAAAGGGTATAGTACTGAGGCGGAATCAAAATAGCTTTGCATGATTATAGTTTGGTTTAAAACACACACACACACAGTAGAAATGTCAGAGCAACATATCTCATGTGCCGTGAAACATGATTTAAAAGACTAGTGAGGGGCGCCTGGGTGGCTCAGTTGATTAAGTGACCGCCTTCGGCTCAGGTCATGATCCCAGGGTCCTGGGATCGAGCCCCGCGTCGGGCTCCCTGCTCCATGGGAAGCCTGCTTCTCCCTCTCCCACTCCCCCTGCTTGTGTTCCCTTTCTCACTGTCTCTCTCTCTGTCAAATAAATAAATAAAATCGTAAAAAAAATAAATAAAAGACTAGTGAGTTGGGAGTGAAAGATATAGGACAGCCTGCATTCAGTAAACTGCTTAACTAGGCTCTGAGTTTTACAAGCACTAAAACTTCAGAAATGATTTAGAATTCTGGTTTTCTTTAGGACACTGTTAAAGCAAGTATATCAATTGGTATCTCCAATAATATTAATGACATGCCTTATGACAGCATGTTCCTATTACTTCCCTGGTAGTGGGAGAACCAATGGATTTCAATGACCAAAGTTATACAAATCATAGGAGAACAAGAAGTTGAGAGAAGCTTCTAGATTTTAAGTTGTTAACATAGTCAAGTAAGTATAAAGTATACTTACATTTATGTGTAACTGTGAGGAAAAAATGGAATGAAAAGCTTTTAAAATTACGTTGTGTAATATATACATAATTAAGTTGTATAATATACCCATAAGTAGGAATTTTTATTGAAGATGGATGACAGAGAAAGTTATTTTATGTGCTAATTGTGGGAAATTACCCCTCATATGATTATCATTATTTTCTCTGCAAGTAGGCACAATGCTTCAAACAATAATTTACCCCAAATTTCTCTTTTCTTCTAGAAAACATATATATACCAGTTATTTTTAATGACCTAATCAAATGGTCATGAACAACAAAAAACAAGAATTTTCTAAACAATATATTAAGACTTTTTTCTTCTTACTGGTAAGTCACAATTCACTGCTTAAAAACAAAACAACAACAACGAAAATGTCAAAATGTTCGAATTTATTGCCACACAAGCTAATGTCTGTTAGATTGCACCTGGAAATAATTGAGGGACCTTTGATATGGTGCCCAGCATTACAAAACACCACTTTATCTGGAATTGATTAAGGACAGAAACGAGCCCCTTCATCCTCACTGCAAGCTAACCTTCCATTATGCTGGCTCATCACCAGTCCCAGCTTGGGACTCAAGTGTGGATTCACCATCCATTGTCTGAAGTCCCCGCAGCCAGAAAAGCTCTGGAATTCAGAACTTGTCAAATTTTAGAAAGGTATGTACCAACATTACAGGCTTATCCCCACAGTACCCCCAAACAAGGAATTTTTACTTCAGCAAAATGTATGAAGATTCACACTAAGGTGGATAAATAAAGACTATAAATAGCTTCACGTAAGGTCAGAACAGGTTTTGCTGCAAGTGAGTTCAGGTCGGGTCAGATTTTGCCACCAAAGAAGTTAGAAAATATTTTCGGTTTTCATTTTGAATTGTGAAATGATGGAGAAGGGACTGTGGAGTATCAAGGCCTCCCTTTATGGGTCATGTTCAGAGTCCATGCCCCAAGCCTGCTACATATAAAATAAATTTATGTCAAGTTTCTGCTCACTTTTTTCTAACAAGGAAGAAAATCTCCAAGTAAATGTACCTCACTAAATTTGATTTTTAAAAAGTGGTATTAAATTGAGGATTTTTTTCATGAAATTCTGATATCATGAAGTAACCTCTCAGGTTCTCTTAGTTCATTCAATCTCTCCCTGAAAAAAGAAAGTTTCAAAAGGACAAAAACCTTGGGCAAAGATAACATAGAAATCTGCACGCCGAAATGAACAAACTCCAATATTAAGTTCAAGAAAATACCATTACAAATTCATTATTGGAGGAGTCAAAATTTCTGATTCGTGGATATGGATGCACAAGATACTTAAACATTTTAAGTACAAAGTTGATAGTACTTGTGAAAGTAGGAGTAACAGTCAAGAGAAAAATGATTAAGAAAATAAAAAGTATTAAAATTTTTCTACTTATGCAAGACTAAAAGAAGAAATATCTGATAATAATGTATATAGTGAAGCGGAAAAGGATATAAAAGCTACTCAGCATGGAGTGTACGTTGGCCCCCAGGAGTTACAAAGCACTGGATACATGATCGTGTTCAGCGAACCATATAACTCAACTCATCCCACTCATCCATGGAAGACTTCGAGAGGTTCTGTGCTTGTAGAGCAGTAGTATGCAATGTCCAAAAACACAAATAAAACTTACAGGTCAACAGAGATGCCATGTATTCAATGTGCCTACACACCATCACCTCAGTTTAGAGGGAACTTGGTATTCAAGGCATCCTGATCAAAGACCCTGAACCAAAAAACAAACAAACTAAAATTCCAACAGTGAAAACTCCAGTATCAGGGATAATGAATGAAATTCAGAAATGGACATTCCCTTGACTCTTCCTCAAAAAACACTGATATACGTTTGGATAATTTAAGCGTCATGAGAGAAGAAACAAGGACAGCTCCCACACATAAGGCAAGCACATGGGAAAGAAGAGTAGAAAAGAAAAAATTTATGGGGTCTACCCTCAGAAGAAACACAAACTGTAAAAACCCAACTTAAAGTAAGTTATTTTGAGATTCTTAAGATGGAAAAGGCAACTGAACTAAAATGGCGAAAATCCTTTACTGAAGTTCCCTAGAAAACAAGCAAACTCATTGCAATGGAACTCATTACCCAGTGGGGTCTAAATATCTAAGTATTTTTTCCAATCTACCACCAGAAAAGAAAGAAAGAAATAAAAGGGGGGGGGGAGGAAGAAAAGAGAAGAGAAAGAAGAGAAGAGGAAAAGGAAAGGAAAGGAAAAGGAAAAAGGAAAAGAAAGGAGAAGAAAAGAAAAAAAAAGAAAAGTCACTGAATGAAACACGCAAGAAACTAAGTTTCTGGTAATTATCAGCAGTAAAATATATGCCCTATATTCCTACCAGAATGGGATATCGGTGCAAAATAAAGACCTAGCATTTCTACCAAATACTAAGAATGTTTTTCTAAAAAGCAAATCTGATTTCAATACTCATCTGCTCAAAACCTTTTGGTGAACCCCAGAAAAAAAAGAGACCCGTAGCTCAAAGTTCCTGAGTTGGCCCTTCTCTTTTTTTACATCTTTATATCATGCAATGACACATCCCTGTCCGCTGCACTCCAACCACACAAAACAATGTTTAGACTCCTAAGCAGGAATCAGGCTGCTTCAAATGTTTCTCTCCCTTTCATCCTACATTCTATCTGGAAGGCTCTGACGCTCTTGGGAAGCACCTGGAAAACACGTATCTTCTTAACACCAATTCAAGCATGCCTTCCTCTATCCCTCCTTTCCTAACCTCAGCCTCAGATGGAATTTCCCACCCCCTCATTCTGCTACCAAGAGAACCTGAATTCACCTTTATTTGGTATCCTTAAGATTTCCAGCATGGATTCGTTTATCACAGCTGGCTCTGGCCCAGTACTTTAAGGTTCTCTACTCACAGCATCTGCTGAATAACTAAATTAACTGAAAGGATTTTAATCACCATCA